GGGGAGGGTGACAGGCGGGAAACGGGCACCGCTGGCACAGGTGTCTCCTCAGTATGAGGGGAGATTGTATCTCTTACGTGACATTTTTTTCCTCTGAGGTTGCTTGGCACCTGTGTCAAGCCTCAGCGGTATTCCTGAGCGCTTTGTTATTAATTTCTGTGCGGCTGGGTGTTTATCCTCGCCTCCTTTGACCGGGTGGCCCTGGCAGAGACGGGCCAAAGCGAAGAGCTGGCTAGGGTCTGTGCTGTTCCTCTGGTGTTCTTTGCCTTTAGGAAGGTTATGATGAATTTTCCCAGGGAAGAACAGAAGTGTGAAGAAAAACTGGAAGGTCACACAAAAAGCTGACAAAAAATGTAGGATGTGTTCCCCCACGCTTCTTGTGTTAGCTTCAGTGTAGCCCATTACGGATTTTCAAGAGTACGATGCACTGCATTTGAGATTGTACATTATTCATATATTTTCTAAGACAACATTAGTAAATAATAGTCTTATATAGCGCTGATGGTAACTGTATACCTTGACTGCTGTCTTTCATGTACAGTTTGAATAAAGTTTTCCACTTTATCATGCAGGTTTGTGTTCGTTTTTTCTTTCATATACGTTGTAGGAGCTGTAGTGATTGAGATACTGAAATAACTTGGTTTTTTGTTTTTTTTTTTTTAAAGAGTGCTATATAGAGACATAGCGCTTCATATATAAAGTTTTCCACTTTATCATGCAGGTTTGTGTTCGTTTTTTCTTTCATATACGTTGTAGGAGCTGTAGTGATTGAGATACTGAAATAACTTGGTTTTTTGTATTTTTTTTTTAAAGAGTGCTGTATAGAGACATAGTGCTTCATATGTTTGCATAAGTCAGGTTTCCTTCTTCAAGAGGTTTTTATCATCCTGAAGAATATTAAGAACTAGTGTAGTAAATAATCCTGATACTAATTATTATTGAAAAGAAATGTGTTTCTTACAGGTACCTGCAAAGAAACAATGGCGACAGAATCTCCACGCCGTCCTAGTCGATGTACTGGAGGAGTGGTGGTTCGCCCACAAGCTGTCACGTAAGCTTGTTTTAGAATAGCCCTTATTTGAAATGTTTTATATTTTCTTGTAGAAGAAGAACCTAGCCTGAACTTTCTTTCAAAACCAGCTGTGAGGGCTTGTGTTGACAGTATGGTTTTGTGGTATTGAGTATTTTCCAATAAAAGAAGGTAAACAGATGTTGCATTCCTGTCTCCTAGGACTGTGCAGGTCCAACTCTCCCTAAATGGGATGCTTTTAGCTTATATGCCAAAACCTTCCAAGTTATCCATTTTAAAGATGAATATCTTGCAGTGTTTCGTTGTCTGATTACACAATTTTGTTTGCTGTACAAACACTACACTAGCTGTAGATCAATGATTGCAAACTTCTTTAGCCTAGAAGGAAGCAGCCTTGCTGTTCTTTTTAATAACACCGTGTCACAGGGGTGGCGATATTAAAACATATAAGCCTGTCATTAAAGTCCTTCAGTAAGTAGAATGGTGGATTCAAATTTTTTTGGTTAAGGGAAGAAAACCAAGAACAAAGGAAGAAGCTACCTCTCCAACTGGAGCGTGTTTTGCTTGAGCATCCTTATTGTGTTCACATGAAAACACTTTCATGGCAAAAGAGCTTAGTAAGACAGTTTAGAAGATTTATGGTCTTGTCTTTGTTGAAGGATTTTTGTAGAAATTTTTCTTTTTTCCTGGGATCTTTATGCTGCTGAATTGTTGCTACAAAATGGCACTGTGTTGAAATGTTCACTTGTACTATTGGTTTCAGTGGCTATTAGTGTGCCACTGGAGGTAGCTGTGTATTTTGACGTCAAGATTCACTTTATTTTTACCAGGGAGCACAAGAAACCTGTCATTGTAACACAAAAAGTTGTGTTAGAGGTTTGTCTTTCAGCCATGTGATAGAATGTTGCAAAATTTCTCAACAAAAGCATTTCTGTTTGTAATGACCTTTTCATCAAAGTAAGCTTTAATAATAACAGAAAAACCCTCTAAGAAGAAGATTATCTATTCTTTTACTATATTCTATTAAATCTATTATTATATTCTTATTATTTATGGTGGCTTGTTTTTGATGTATATCTTTTCACCTCAAAAATGTGACTCTTTGTGATGAAAGTTTGTGTATGTTGAGCAGTGTGCAGCAGCGTCCTGCTGCTTATGTTAAACTTCTACATTCTTACTAAAGAATATACTTTTTTTTTTGTGATTTGTTTTGTTGTTGTTGTTTTGGTGGTTCCTAAGCACTTTAAAGATATCTTGGAAGTTTTTCAACTTCAGGAGAGATTTAGATTACATACACTGAATAAAACATTCACCAAACATCAGTTTTGCTTCACGATGTACTGGGGAGGAGAAACAGAAGTACCTACTTCATGAGCTGAGAAAGGAAGATGGTATGACTCTTGCTGGTAGGCATTCACATAAGAACTTCAAACACTGTATTTAGTGCTATACCTGTAGACAGGTATTATTGCCAGGCAATAAAGGGCTCTGAAGGCACACAGGGACAGTTTTGGTGACCTACATAAATCAAGGAAGAATCAGCACTAGAAACCACAGCTCATTTATAAGGTCTCAGCAGAGTAAGACCAAGTTTATTTGATGCAGTAATCCTTGGATTGCTGAACAAAATCTAGTTTTGTCATGAGTTGGAATAAGCTCTCTAAAATTTGAAATTTTATGGTTTAGATTTATCTTTGTTTTCAGAATGGAATGAACTAGTTAAGCTGATCCAGGTGTTGCAGCATTTGACTTGAAGTATCTTCTGTATTGCTGTGTAAAGGGCAGAGCTCTTAATTCTTAAATGCTAAACACTCCCATTTCTATTAGAAGAATCTTAGACAGCAGAGTTTCAGAAAGCATATGTACCTTTGGATGTCAAGAGTTTAGATTTCATGGTTTGTGATTTTGCTTTGTTGCTATTAGAAATCGTGAATTAACACAAGAAAAAATACTAACAATATAACAGTTAATTTGGGGGCTGCCAAAGCTGTTACCTAAAGAGTTAGTTTTTAAAAAAAATTGTTCCAGACTTTGTGAATATAGTTCTTGTTGCCAGCATGTTTCAGCATTACTCATTACAGAAAGCACAAACTTTTTGTGTAGTTTCAACACTGTCTGTCTAATATAGTCAACCCACACTGTACGTTGCTCAGCAGTTACACAAGACTCGCCGCTCGTGCAGGGATGAGCTAATAAATGCATTAGTTTAGATCTACCAGAACAGATGTATCTTGCACTCTATACTATTCTAAATCATTGCTGATAATGAACTTCCAAGAAGGAATAAGCTTCCCAAGCTATGAAAACTTATCTGGAAATACCTCCTTACTATTGTTAGTTAGGGTTTTGTTCCATCTCCTGACCCCCAACCGCTACTGCTTATTTCATCATGGGATGTGACGCGTGTGAGGTCTTAAAGTTCACTTGCCCCACAAAGAGAGCTCCAGCCCTTAGCTTAGGTCTTCTTCTTCATGGTATAATATGCAAATCAAGTAGAAAAATACTGAACAATATTTTCCAAGTGCCTGTTCTACTTCAGTCAGCCACTCTGATCTGGAGAACGTAGTTTATTTCTTGACAGTTAAATTTCATACCTTTTCCCCAAGCAGTTACATCATGAACAGGTGTGACTTTGCTTTTTGCAGCCTTTCAGGCCACTATTTATATTATCAGAGTGTTTGGCAGTATGTTATGTAACTGTGTTGCATACTTAATATTTTCCCTTGCGCTCAAGATTGTGCATGTGTTCTCTGGTGATATGTCTTAATATATTCACAACCATTTCTGAACTTCAGTGGTAGTTAAAATTCTCCTTCTGTTTTCAAGGGAGCAGTCGTATATGGAAAGCGTTGTTACGTTTCTTCAAGATGTTGTGCCACAGGTATGTGCAGATCTTTAAAATTACTTTTTTTGGTGTACAAAGCAGTTGAAGCGTGTGTCAGGTGGACCAAAATACCATTGAAAAGCCAGAAAAATTTTTGGTTTTTTTGAATGTGAATCTTGAGGCCAGGTTTTTGAAAGCATGGACTGGATAGCATCTGAAAATTTGGCCTACAGGTTTCTTCTGATAGGTAATAACTTAAATGAAAATGTTACCTACACAGAAGTTGAAGAATTAGAATATAAATAGCAGGAAGAAGGTTGCAGCCTCTTCCTATGATAATTTTGACAATAGAGTAGTTGGTGAGGGGAGAGATTGGACATGATACTTCCTCTGTGTCTTACAAATATGTTTTTTTCTGGGTTGTAATTGGAAACCTATGTATGAACCCTGGCTGGACTCACATTAGAACAACTTGGTAGACACCCTTTGTCACCTTAGCTTTTATCACTGGGTGAAAAGCAGGAAGTTTCTTTTTACCACCTTGGCTCCCCCTTTTTTATCTTATTTCCTTAGCTTGCTTCAGAGTGTCCTGGCTGCTGTGGTAGTGTGGAGCTCTACCTAACCTGTTGTTCTCAAGCGTGCTGAGTTTTGCAGAACAAGAGTCCTCACCCTACCTTTTAAATCTTTTTTTTTGTTTGTTTGTTTTGTTTTGTTTTGTTTCCCACTTCTGGGATCTTCCTCTCTGGAGAGCAACTGTGATGCATGTGTCTGCTCTTGTTCATAGTTTCCACAGGTAGCACCAGCATGAAATTGGAATTGTCACTTCTGTATTGCTCATGAGCCTTTGGGTAGTAGAGGGAAACTGATTTTGTTTTGTTCCTGTTTAGGAAAGCTGTAGCCTGTAGTGGAGGAGCATTGCAGCTAATTGTCTATAGCCTCAGGAATCTGTCTTGGTTCTTATTTGAAGGATTATTTTGGTTAGGTAGTTATGAATTTCCTCAATTAAAAAAAATTCCCCTCGCTGTGATCAATTTATGAAATGCATTTTGGACTCATGGTCAAAATTAAAACTAGTCCAATTTACATTTAAAAGATTGCTCCGTTCCACACACCCCCCCCATTTCTTCCCCCTCTGTAGTTAAAGGATACAGTCTGTGTTTTATTTTACAAATCAGTTTGCCTTGGAAGCATGGAATGTGATTTGTTTTGAAAAGTAATACCCACACTTATTTTTTAAATTTGTGTTTTTAGTTCATTTTATTGGTTTTCTGGCATGTATAAAGTGATTATACAAGCTCTTTTCATATTTAATCCAAAGTACGGTACAGTATTTTGTCATAATTCATTTGGAAGTGGTGGTATTTCTACTGTAGCTCATGTTCTTACTACCGCAGTTTCTCTTGAGAACAGTAAAACTTGGCAGTTTGGAAACACTGCTTGTCTCCTTCACAGTTTCTTTTTGTGTCTCATCTTTTTATGGGAATCTGTAGAACACAGAACTGAAACATGGATCTGTTCTACTGGAATTACAGTTTATTCTCTTTTAAATGGCTATATTAAAGATGTCACAAATATAACTAAAACATGTCAGTAAAATAAACAATGTATTAAAGGTCTCTTTCTTTACTCAGTCCTGCTTACAAAGCTTTTAGGTGAATGAAAGACAATTTTAGATGGAGAAATGCCTCACGTGAGCAGCTCTGACATTGCTTTTAGAAGTAGTGTGCAACTGCTGAAGTGAAAGACTGTAGGAGCCACTGTGTTTTGGCTTGGCTAAATTGCTGTAAGTCTGTAGTGTTTCTAACCTGCTCCAGAAGACTTATTTTTGTATATGTCTTGTAATTTCTACCTTTGTAAGTGATGTTATGCTCTTTGTGTTTAGTATGGTGTATGTTGATCATGGAACCATTCCTTTTTGAAACAAAACCTCGCAGGAATACTGGTGACAGTAAGATATATGTACCTCTGGTTTATTTTCTAGCTTGTATTCCCTCCTATGGTCTATAGAGGATGGAAAAAAGGCACTAAACGTCCTTATTTCAACTCTTTTGCTTCTTATCCAGGCCTACAGTGGTACCCCACCAACAGAAGAAAAGGAGAAGATCATTTGGGTCAGATTTGAAAACGCAGATTTAAATGGTATGGCTTCATTTTCTGTCACTTATTTTTGTGATTTTTGGGTCCATATACAATAGTTTCAGTCAGTAGACCTTGCTGACTCACAATGAGTCATTTCCCCATTCTAGATAGACTAAAGTCTCAGTGAATAACTGCACTTATGTTCAGCATCTGCCAAATAGAACAACTAGGCCTTGCAACTTCTCTAAAGGCAAGCTAACTGTTGCTTAGGAAGAGAGGCAAATCCACCCCCAAAAATCCCTTTCCTTTCCTTAAGGGAGTTGAAAACAAAGCACAGAACTGAATTAATTTCTTCTACTGTTTGATTAAAAAGACAGATTATTTAACTGTGAATCCAGTCCAGGTCTGAGCTGTATTTTCAGTGGTGGGATACGATTCATAGTAACCCAGAAAGGAAGAGCTGCTGGGGAAAATGGGCAGGAGATTCCATGTTGTCTTTCAGGGAAAGAACAAGGCAAAGCCACAAAATGTTCTTAAAATGCAACTTACCACTTCCAGTGTATCTTAATAATTAATCAGAACAACTACTGACTTAGTGCAGGCAATGGATTTCCAACCTTTTTAGGAAAAAAATAGTAATTTTTACAAGCTTTTTCTATGAGTATCAAGTGGATGTCCACTTAAAATCTGAGCTGTTTTGCCTTTCTATCCCAGTTAACCTTTTTTTTGAGTAAGGAAGGTTAGGGCCTGAATGGTCGAATGCTGCTCTCAGGTAGTTACTTCTCGAATTAATCGAACATCTTAGAGTCGGTTGTGGTGTGTGGTGTATTTGCTTGTCATAGCTGGGGAACTAAGGCACCTGCTTTCTGGAGAACACTGGATTTAAGTCCTGCAGCAAATTGCTGTTTCTTGTCTGCCATCTTATTTTCCTGCCTAGGGCTCTATGGTGAAGGCTCATTCTGGTCTCCGATGGAGTAATAGCAAGCATAGCCAGAGCTGTGATGGGGAATTTTCAGCCTTTCCAAGAGCTTAATAGGGAAGATTATGTTTTCCAGCTGTTGAAATGGCACAGAGGCTCACAGTTCATAAATTCATGGTTGTTCGAACTAGAAAAGACCTATCAACCTGTACATGGCATTATGTCCAGCTTTAGGCTAGTTAAGGTTTGTTTGCTTGTGGGTTTGTTTTCTTAGTCTGTTTGTTTAAAAAAAAAAATCTCAGGCCTTCCCTCTTTATGTTCTTTTCCCACAGGGTAACAAAAACTCTTTACAATATTCTTCTGAATCCTTCATATTCTGCATAAATTTAGTTTTATGCAGCTTAATCTGATTGGGCCTGAATACATCCTCTTTCACCATCCTGAGTATTTCCTCTCTTTCTTTGATGCTTACATGCTTGCAGTGGGCTTTTGTTCATTCTGCCCTGGTTGAAAATGTAGTTTTAGAGGGCTTTACTCAAGAAAAGCTTAATATTTTGATTATTATGTTCTGTAGCACTTTTCTTCCTGAGGATTTTCTTTTGGTAAGGTTGATGTAAAGATTAATGACATAGTGTCTAGAAATGGTTTTGATCTGTTAGGTCTGTGCATTTGTAATTTCTGTATTTGTTAATGTTTATTTTGTTGGTCCTTTGCAAATCTTTTACTATTTGAAAAGTTTGCCATGTTTTATTAATCATTGTAGAAAGAATTACAGAATTTTTGGGGGTGTTTAGTGACAACCCACATTGTAATCCAGAAAATTTTTCTCCATCTTTTTTGAATTTTAATGGTTTCTAGCCTCTCTGTGAAACTTTAACAAATCTATTATGTTTGCCTAAAATAATATATTTCAGTGTTGTTCCAGCATAAAAATTTCAATCTCTTTGCTTGCTTTTTAATTAAGAGAACAGAAACATGCATTGAGAAAACTCTGTCTGGTATAAATGACACCATCCATAGTTGATCCTAACCTGCTAATAATGGCTTTGATATTTAAACCCAATTTAGATACGTCCAGGAATATGGAGTTTCATGAAATACATAGCACTGGGAATGAACCACCGTTACTGCTAATGATCGGATACAGTGATGGAATGCAAGTCTGGAGCATACCTGTAAGTACAGAGTTCACTTCTGTGCCAGAGGCTTTTTTGTTTGTAGTGTTGTGTTATTACTTTAATATCTTACTTTTATTTTTTCCTATTGAAGTGGAAAGAGCCAACGTTTACCATCCATGTCATATGGTTTGTATGTCATATGGTTATCTTAAGATTAACACTGAGCATAGATCAAACACTTGGATTCATGTACCTTCAGATATGAGAGCAGCTTACAAATTATTTCTGTTAAGTAAATTTTCGGAGTCCAGTTGGGAGTAGTGTTTGACATTACGGAGTAGTTTGTATCCCAGAAAGACAGAAATCTTTTTAGCTTATAGAAAGGAATAAGGGTGTAAAAATATGAAAAGAATTTGTTTGTCCCAGGAATGCAAGTATGACAGTATTAATAGTATTCTGCAATCACATGTTTGTCATGTACATGATTTGCAATTTTAATTTTATTAAAGTCTATGTGTGCATATGGGTTTGATTTCATGCTTTCATACACACACTCTGCAGTTTGTTGTTTCAGAGTGGTTTATGAGCACATGGTCTTAATTTGGGGAATTTCCCCCAAATTTCTTGAAACTAAAGAATAAAGTTTAATACAGTAGGTCATAAAATTCTTAACTTAAAAAAAAAATTGCTCATAACACCCTGTTCTTCAAAATAATGTAGAGAGGATGGAGTTCTTTCCCATTGTAAAATACATTAGTTTTTTTAGAAATGTGTGTATTTTTTTTATAACTTCTTGGTTAGCTCTGCAAGACATGTTTATATACCAGTAGTTTAGTATCATAGAAAATAATGTTAATTTGTACACCAAAAGTTAAGTTAAACTGAGTTTCACTGCAGTGTGAGAGAGCTGGATGTTGCCTCTTGATTGCATATTGTTAGCTGGAAATGAGAAAGAAAAACAACTACTGAGCTTTGGCATTTGAAGGAGGGTTTAGCAGAAACGGAGTAAGATCTGGTATACTTTACTAAATTTCAGTATTTAGTAACTTTTAACTAAAATTTAAGAACTTAAACCAAAATTTATGAACACTTTAACCAAAATATATGAACTTTTATCTGCTTTTATGTCCTGAGACACTATGTCTAAATAGAATTTTCATAGTTTTATTTTTAATGGAGCAAAACATATTTTTGGATTTTTTTTTTTTTTTTTAGATCTACCTGATGAGGGGATGACTTTGCTACAGATGGGTTTATAGTATACGTTTAGTTTTGTACGCTATTTTGAAGACTGATCGGTTTTATGTTAGTGTACAAATCAGATGATTAAAATGGTTCGGACAGGCTTTGCTTTGTTCTTCAAGTGTATTACAAAAAACAAACATTAGGTGTCACTAAGATACTGAGCTAAGAGGAAATACAACTGCAGCAGTCCCAGGAGTTACAGCACACTTTGATCGATTGGTTACGATAGGGTGAATAGTCACATACACTTAAGCTAAAGAATTTTTATAAAACAGCTTGTGTTATCCTTCTGAAATGTTCTTGTCCAAATGAACGTGTGTTTTCTGAAAAATGTATGGAAATAGGTTGTGTTGGGACTTGTCCTAGCCACTCTATGATAAGAGCTTTGTGTCTAGCAGAGATTGTTTTGGGTTTTTTTTCCCTCTGTGAGTGTGTATGTAACGTGCCCTTGCTTTGTGGTTGGGGGGAGTTCTGTGCATCCCTCGTAAGTGACTTTCTGTGTCCAAATGAAAGTGTGTCTCTGTCAGAGCTATCTGTATCAATGCCCTGGAGAAATTCCTTGTGGGGTGGGATCTTGCATGTATAAGGAAAGCAAGAATGAAAGCAGAGAGTCTCAGTTCTTTGGTATGTGAACAGATTACCTCGGTGCAACCTGTTCTGCATTAACTTCTGTGTTTAAACTCATACCCCGTGGTATGCTGCAGTAAACACAAAATAATTTGGAGATTACTAACAATGATGAGCTGAACTACTTTATCCTGGCTTATGTGGAGCAAGTGTGCTTACTGGTACTGCCAGGTAGGTAGTACAAGGTAGTTTATCCATGTTCCCTAGTGGGGAAGAGGGGTTTTCTTTGGGTTTGCAGTGGGTTCAACCTCCCCGCACT